AATGAATCCAAATCTAGGAGCCATGACCCCCAAGGGAATGAAATTGGGGAAAGCTGCCATTGTTTCAGGCTGCTGCTGCAGTCACATAGTGCTTGTTCTGCTTTTAATTACTGGGTGAGTATAAAGACAGACAGGCAGACTCTACAAAGGCTTCCATACAAAGTTTCTTTATTGGGTCACAAGGCATCCTCAAATATAACTCACAGTTATGTCGAGCTTCATCTAATATCCAATTCTTTACATAGCTGACTTCATAGTGTAAAAATACAGTGATCTTTCATCCCATAACGATGGAGCAAAGGGTGAGACACCAGCACACTGCTGGGGTACAAGCAGGAGTGAAGGAAACTCCCCCAACCCAACCAAGGGTCAGTTCAGTGACCAATCAGGATTACTACATGACATGAACTACATTTCCCATGATGCATTAATTACATTTACCATGAGGCATTCCCTTAAGGGGACAGCTCCCAATTCTAACTTAACTATCTCAATTCCCAGTTACTTATATACTGTCTGGACAGCACAGTGCTCATTTGGAATCTCCTGTGACAGTTTCCCTGCCCTCTTGTAATCCCTTGTTCCCTACCACACCCAGCAGCAAGGAATTGACTGTTCATGTGGCTCTTACAGAAGCAACAAGAAAGAAAGGGTTGGATATGTTTATTGGCACATTTATATGCCCCTTTCCTGGCACATGAACATGGGCAGGTATCCATATCTTATCTTTGTTGAGCAACTCAAGGCACATACATCATGCTGGATTTTGTTATATTTCTTCACAACTACCCTGTAAGGTAGGTTGAGCTGAAAAGTCACCGTGAGCTGCTGTGGCTGCAGATGGAGTAGAAAGTAGAAAGTGAGTCTTTCTGGTGTCAGTCAAGTGTCAAGGTTCCGACTAATAAGCCCAAGCAAATCAGAACTCCGAGACTCAGATCTCTCTCAAAGAACTTCTTTATTGAGCACATCATATTGGCACGATTAAATGTAAAACCGACTCTGAATATTTCCCACGGTTTCAGCATAGTTAAAATAGTAAATGATCCACCACAAGTGTCACAGGTCACATTGTCCAATTAGGTTCATTGGCGGGCTCCCTTTCCATCCGACACCTGTGGAGATGACCTTGGTTCCCACAAGATAGAGCAGTGTTGTGTCTGGCAGTGCATTCCAGCTTCCTTGCCCACTCCCATACTGTGTGGCAACTGAGAACCAACAAAATGGTTTCTGCCAGGTTCAGTTTGAAGTTGACAGCAGCCACTTTAGTTCTTATCCATCTTCTTGCATTTTTCAACTGCTTCTTACCATTAAACTCAGGGTAATCCATTTACTAGTGATGTGAAGGACACATTTTCTTCCCAAATGTATAGCTCTCTTTAAAAAAAAAAAAAGAGAGAGAGAGAGAGAGAGAGAGAGAAAGAGAGAGAGAACTTTGCTGCTATTTCTATTACATTTTCCATGACATTTTTGCCTACCCTATAGAATTTTGCCTGTAGTACAAAGATGTTATAGGAGTACAACAAAATTAAGATGAATAAAATAATGACATTATGTCAGGAAGCATTAGCATTATGATTTCCATGGGACTGAAATTTGGCAGGTTTGTAGCTGCTTCAGTACTCCAGCACTGCCAAGCTGCTGCCTAGAGCTTCAGGAGAGTGCTGTTCCTCTAGCCCTCCACAAAGAGACCAGTCCTGCCATTTGCTCCTGGAGATCAGGTAAAACAGTCCTTCCATAGCCCTCTGAAGAGACATATCCTGCCCGGTACATTTATGTTGAAAAAACAAGGGGGTGGCTTGTAAATAATTTCAGAGTCCCATCTCTCCCTTGACAGCTTTCAATACCTATTTTTGTTTCCTCTTGAGATGATGGCTGGCACCATCAGCTTCAAATGATAAACAACAAGAAACTTAACGGTGATGCATTACTATGCATATTGAATAATGAACCATGAGAATGAGTTTAATAACCTTCTAAGAGGAGGATGACTATTACAACAATACATGGTTGACATGACTGCTAAGATTGAAAGGATGAGGTTGACTTACATCCAAATGAATCAAGCAATCTTGAGAACAACAACATACAGTAGTCTGACTGATTGAATGATGATGATGATTTTAGAAACATCAGAAGGCACATCATTGACTCTCCAACATTTGTTGGAGGACCAAGATATATGATGAAATGATGTCAAGATGCCATGATGTATATACGGAAGTATGCAATACTTCATTTTTCATTACAGTGACATACAATTCAAACTCGCCTGAATTACACAGCATTTTTTAAAAAGCAGCAGCCAAATGCTCATCCCAATTTAATTGTGAGTATTCAGCTTAAAGACAAAGTTGTTCCTGAAGTACCACACTGGAACACATGGTCTCTTAGTTGGGTTATGTGCTAAGTATGGATACCAAAAGCAGGGTTTCTCTCATCTGCACTCTTTGCTGTAGCTTCATGAAGCATCCAAGCCAAGACAACTACGATACTTTTGTGCAAGCCAAAATACCAGACCTAAATGAACACCCAGAGCTGCATAAATTGCTATTAAAGCACATGACCCATAGTCCATTTTGCAGCAGTTACTCAGGATGTTTGGAATGATACATTCAGTAAGCAGTACCAAAAGCCATTTAATCAGCGTACAAGTGATGATTCATATCCTATCTATAGGAGGATTTGAAGTAAATCAAACAGGACAACAGACTTGACCTAAAACTCAATGGGTGGTACTCCAGAATACACAACTATTAAGTGTGTTCAACTGACATCTCTATGGTATACTCATGTGCTCATCTGTCAAATCCAGCATCAAGTGTACCAGGAAGAGGAGTAATCAGGCAGCTTTTGCATTGAATAGAGAAGACAAAAATCACACAGCATTTGACAGGCAGATACATTAGGTCCTCTGAAGCTGTTGCATCAATACTTGGATTTCAGATTCATGCACAGGAACTGACTATTGTTTGGCTTCAAGTGCACCTTCCACAAAAGCATTGACTATTCTTTCGAGATAATACTGCTGTGTACTTAACGGTGATATGGCAAAAACCACATTAACAGAATTCATGGATCTTTGCAGACATGATTCATTTGCAAAAATGCTGAACTATATGGATATTCCAAGGTCCTACACTTGGAGTAATAAGAGATGGGAAAGAAGAAAAGTGGGGGAAAGACTGGAGGAGATCTCTGGAATTTTTGTAACCAATATTCTTGGTCAAGTGTATACTGTTTGTACACAAATTGGTGACCACTGCTTGAGGTTGCTTCTTCATCACATAAGGGGACTACTGTTTCTCAAATCACCAAAGACTCGTAATGGACATGTTCTTCCATTATTCAGAGATGTCTGCAGAGAGAGAGGGGATTGTTGCTAGTTGATTATCATTGGCAACAAACTATGCAAGATGTTGAAATAACAAGAATCCCCAGAGCTCTGAGAGATTTGTTTGTCATCTTGCTATCAAACAGTAAAATCAACAATTCACAACAATGTGGAATCAGTTCAGGAGTGCAACATCTGAAGATTTCCTCCAAATTGAGAGAAGAAATATTAATGATCCTACCATCATGATCAATAAGAGGCATCATGAACAAGTTCTTCTGTATTTCCAACAATAACTTGAAGAATGTAACTTGGCCAAACTGACAAATAGTACAGTTAATCAAAACGGTGTCAATCAGGAATTATTGCATGAGTTGCAATAAAACAGAAACAAACAGCAGGAATTTATACTACACTATGAGCCTCTATTGAATAATGAGCAAAGAGCAGTATAAGACAGTGTGCAAGTGCTTGCAAAGCAATCTTCAATGATTTTCATTGATGCACTAGGAGGAACAGGAAACACATTTGTTGCTAACTTGATTCTCACTAAATTTAAGAGAGATGGAGATGTTACTATTGCTATACTACCTCAGTAGTGCAGCAACAATGATGCCTGGTGGTTGGACAGTACGTTCAAGGTTCAAGATAGCCCTCAAAATACTCTTTGTAACATTAAAAAAGCCTCCAATGCTGCACATTTGCTTTGACAAGTGAAGCTTATTGTCTGGGATGAGAACCCCATGATTAGGAAGCAGAACTTTGAAGTCATGGGGGAGGGGGTATTTTAACCATTTGCTGTGGTGGTATTAGTCAGCTTCTACCAGTTGTAAAAAGAGGAAGTAATTCTGATGTGGATAAGTTATGCATCAACAAATTCTATTTATAGAGAATCTTTGACAAGTTTCAATTGAAGAAAAATCATGCAATTGATGAGGGAGAAGGAAGATTTTCGGAGTTTTTATTAAATTTGGAGTAGATAAAAATCAGAAAAAAATCTAAATGATAAAATAGAATTACCTGAACATATGGTTTTGCCAGCAAAAACTATGGAAGAATGTATCAATTTCATCCACCCAATAATTTGACAAAGCTGTTCTCAAAGAACTCCATCTAAGTTCCCTTCAATGAAATGATAAGAAAAATCAGATAGTAATCCACGCATGGTCATTCTGTTTCTCTCTTTCAGTATGGATGACCCAATGGATCAAAGGTTGTTTAATAATAAATAGATAATCACCTTTGTCGTGAACTTGTATGGTTCTGCTTCACTTTCCCCCCCATTTTTTAGCATGCAGTGAAATGCCAGGATAATGATGGGGTCATTTTATTTATCGCTTGTATCCACAGTGGGCGAATATTGTTAATAGGCTTATAACACTTGATGACCAAAATCTAGAGTTCTAAGTTAACTTACGGCCTTACTTTCTTATGAAGTTTTGTCCTCTTAAATCAGAATACTAGAAGTTGAAGTCCACATATCTTAAATTTGCCAAGTTTGAAAAACATTGAAGTAAATCTTTAGCTTTTAGTCAAGCTGCTGTTACAGCAAAATTTTCTTAAATGCTTTACTTAATATTATTTTGAAGCATGTACATTATCAATGTTTTATATGCAGATCTTGGAAAATGGGTGCTGATTAAAACAATGTTTTTTTACTTCCTTACAGTCCAAGGCTATCCAAGCTCCCAGGATGGATCTTAAAAGATGGAAGCATTTTCTTGGACAAGGTAATGTACCAATGGGATTAGGATTCTCAGTGAATTTAACTAATTGGGCAATGAAACCATGTCCAAGCAAAATCCATTTACCCAGTGAAGAAAACAAACCTGTCATCAAAATAAGGAGTATTTTCAAGTCCAATTTTGAGCTGAGAAATCAAATATATTATAAAATATCATCCCTCCATTTACTTTTTTCAGCTACCTCTCTTTGTAACTGTACCTTGTTTGATTAATATTTCCTGGTCTTGTGTCTTATAACAAATGAAAAATGCATTGGAACAATTACAATTCTTTTTCTATTTTCAAAGTATTGCTTAAATTGTACTTGTCTTAAGGGTGGGGGGTGCTCAAGCTTGATTATACATCTAGTGAAGTCATCTCAAGATTCCCTGTATGGACAGATCTCATGTATTGGAAGATTTGTTTCAAGCTACTTTGCTCAGCAGATTCCCTATGGTCCCTGAAAACTCTTGAAGGCACTTTTTAAGATTCCTTTGTGATGCAATGAACCTCTCAAGAGTTTGGGAAAGATGTTGCTTTGCAGAATATTTTAACTTTGGGACTTCTGTATATTCCTGACTTTATCAGGGTAATGGGTAGTCACTTTCCTGTTGCATCAAGAAGTGACAAAAGGGTCAAGGAATCTTTGCCTTAATTAAGAGATGAAAGGGTTGTTAAAGGAAACATAACCGGTAGGCAAGATTTCCGTAACACAAACACCTGTTTTTCCTACTGTAGCTTTTTTAATGAATAGTAACCGCTATGGGCTTGACAGATATGCTCCTTAAAGATCTGGAAGTCAGATCACCCAACTCAGCCCCTTAATTATCATGGCTGAAGATCACCTTGAACTTGGTTCTTCCCAGCACTAGTCCATCACATTAACCACAACACCTGTCTGTCTCTCCAGTGACTCTGATCCTTGAGAGAATTCAAAGGGGCACATAGTAACAAGTTTAATATTAGGACTTTCGGAATATTTTGATTTAGCCCCAATAGAGTCCGTTCAAGGGATCTAATTTGCTTAGAATGACAAATTACTTCCCTAGTTCTGCTCAGAATTGGGAGTTAAAGGTTGGGGTTAAAGGTGAACACTTTATTTTGTAAGGAGAATGTTGGTCTTTGCTGCATTTGGATGCAATTCTTTTAAATCCAATGTTCATTGGGGCATTGAAATTCCCCTTGTTTACCCATTCACCTTCTAAATTCTCTTGATAAGTTTAAGGGCTTTCTGTCAGATATAATGGTTGATGTGTATAACTTGGCAAAGTTGTTGAGAGTTTCTTAAGAATTGAATCCAAATCCCAATGCTAGATACTTAAAAGAGCAGGATAGTATGTTATGTATAGGAAAGCTGTGATTTCATAGATGGAGAATCCCTCCTTCAAAAAATATTCTTCTCTTTAGAATTACACAGAGATAAAATTACTACAGTTTTCCATTTGTGGCCATTATTTCATCTCAGACCTCGTTACATGTGCTTTAGTTAGTGGTCCAGATGTTAAGGAAAGGCGCTTGAATTGACCTGAAAGCAAAGAATCTAGAATATTTATGTGGTCATACTTTGCTAAGGAATTAAAAGCACAACTTCAATCCTGAAAATCAAGGGAATGAAAAGTGGGGCTTTAGTCAGTAGAGAAAGCAAAGAATCTAAGAGCCAAGGAATAAAAATAAAACAAATCAAAAAGGAGAGAGGGGTGATTTTCAACTGTGCCCAGACACAGTCCTCAGTTAAAAATGGAGGATTTGTTAACTTTTAAGCCTTTGCTGAAGTCCAGTATTGTTCAGCTCTAGTGCCAGGTCAAGGAAGAAAAATTGGATTGATACTCACCCAGTGGAACTGCATCTCCTAGGATTTATTTACCTCATCGGTGAATTATTTTGTAATTTTCTTTAAAATGTTATAGTACTATCCGTTAACACAGAGTCGAATGTCATTGTGGTCTGTTTGGTTATAGTTAAATATCTATTTTCTTTCTACCCCATTCCTAGGAGCTGAAAGACTGTTCTGGCCGTGTCTTTGTGGACTCTGTCCCTGAGTTTTGTTTGCCAGAGGTGGGTCTCCATTAACTAATTAAAATGTTCCCGTTCCTTCCTAATTCAGTTTTCTCATTTTATTTCATTTATTTTATTCACAGACATTTCACTAAATTACACTAACTATTTTATCCCTCATTCTAATCATATGTTGTTTCAAATTTTCTAATGTTATTTCTATTACAAATATAACAATACAATCATATGTACCTTTACAGAATCCCTTTTTCAGTTAGATTTTCACCCATTATCTCTAAATAGGTCCTGTTTCTTTATATCTTGCTCCGGACCTTTGTAACTTCTTTTCCTTTCCTTCTTCCCTCTCTTCTTCTCTCTCCCCTTTTTACCCCTTTGTCTCTCTTCCTCTATTTCCCTCTTCTGTATTCCCCTTTTCTGTTGCTTTCCAGTATTATACTTATTTTTCGAATTATTTTTCTTTTCTTTGGTTGTTTTTTTAAGTCTTAAATTCTTCATTCTCTTTCCCCACTTTCCTTTTTCTTCCCCACATAGAGTTACTTGTTCATTAAAGATGGCTTCTTCTTTGTCCCAGTCTTCTTGTTTTGCAGTCTTTTCTTGTTGTTTCTCATAGTTCCAGATCTCCATTTCTAAGAATCGAAAAACGAAGCCAAAAGAACCCTTCCCTTCTTGTGCATCTTCTTTGTACTTTTTAAGTTCTATTTTCAATTCATCCAGAAGTGATGCCATTGTATAATTTTTTAAACAACCACCCGATTGATTTTAGTCATTCAAATATAATAACCAAAAATCCAGAAGTAATCCAAATACACGCAAGCCGTCTCTTTATTGCTCTTTCTTTTTTTTCACTTTCTCTTCCTGGGGTTACTATTTAGTTGCAAAGTTTGAGTTAAAATGTATCTTTTAGAAGTCTTATTGAAGTTTTACTTTAGATTCTTTTAAAGTCCAGGCAGTCTCCTCCCTCTTCCAGATCCTGCCCTTATTCTTTTTCTCTCCCTTCCTGTTTATAGAAGAAAAAGTTTTTAAATAAAGATTTTTGTCCCTTTGGCATTTAGTTATATTTTCAGCTTGATTGCCTATTGATGCCAAAGCGGATTTTTCCGATTTCTTATTTAAGTCTCTTAGTTGTCAATATAAGGAAGGAGAGAAAAGAAAAAAAAGCTAAACCTTTCCCTTTTCACTTTTTTTCGTTGCTTCCAACTCTTCTTTGGGAGCGATGTTATTTTTTGTAAAATTTAAATTCTAGGGTTGTTGCTTTTTCAACTTAACCCGGTCAGCCAAAACTTTCACTTCTTATCTTCCTCCTGCACGTTCTTTTCCGGTTGAGTTCTTTGAGGTGGCCATTTCTGATCACCGCTCCTACCGCCTTCAGGAAAGGGAGTAATGGCCAGCTGAGGAGGAGAGATGTGGCTCTCCTCGACCCTGCTGACGGTCTCCCCCTTCTTCACCACCTCTACGGGGTGGCTTAGCCCCGAAACCAGCCGGCTCGGGGCGCTCCAGCAACAAGCCCAGACAGAAACTGTGCACGATTGCGGATTCCTGTCTGTTGCCAAAGCCCTTCTCTATGTCAGATGAAAGTTTTGAAATTAAAAATAAAGTTGATTTTGTTCTTATGAACTTTTTCAATTCTCACCCCCCAAAAACATAAATTTGTTTCAATCTGTTCTATTTGTCAATCTTCTACCTTTTAAGGCAATTCCTTTTAATATAATCAGAAAGCTCAGTGGAAAATTGAAGCTGTTGAAAGATTTGATTGTAGCCTTCAGAAACCTCTGGAAGCTATTACCAAAACTGAAGTTTTTAACAATTTTAAGTTATTTGAAGGTATCTGGCGAGTAATCTGGTTTATTTTTATTAACTTTATTTAGTAATAAAGATTTATTTTAATTAAATCAAAATGTAAATGAAATAAAAACAAAGTTAATTATTGTCCCAGCCTCACCTGTTACTTTTTGGAGTGTGACACCTGGCATGTATTTTGCCTCCAGGCTGGAGAAAGCTGTGCACCCTATTGATTAATAGTATTGATCCATCCTTTGATGGATCAGGCTAAGGTCTGCTTATCTTCACCTATCAACTTACTGGATGTTTTATATAAATTCATAAGCAGGAAAAGAGATGGGTACTTAAGAACTGTAAGCAGCCCAAAGTCAGTAGGAGGTATACAGATTTAATAAATTATTGTTGTTGTTACTATTTGTCCCATTTCTAATCTGCATATGAAGATTCCTTTGAATTAATAGATTACAGCCATTGAAATAAGCCTGTTCACTCATGAACTTGTTTGACCTTCGTTTGGATTGATTGATTGGTTATTTGCCATCATCTTCAATTCCTAGTGACCGCATAGATTGATTTTCTCTGTGACGATCTATCCCTAACCTTTATTTCAAGTTCCCAATTGTGCACTCACTGCCAGTGTAAGTGAGTCCATCCATCTTCTCTTCTGCTCTTCTCTTTTCTTCCACCTTTCCAAGCATTAGAAAGTTGAGTCTTTGCATAAAGTATCTGAAACAGAACGGTTTGAACCTGAACCTCACCTCAGGTGAGAAACCGATTTTTTTTCCTGATGGTCCATTAATTTGTTTTCTTGGCTGTCCATGGTATTCTCAAAAATCTTCTCCAACACCAAAGTTCAAAAGCGTTTTCCTATCCTGCTTCTTTGATGTCAAACTTTTGCTTGCATAGAATGTCACAGGGAATATTATGGCTTGCACAGTTCTAATCTTTGTAAGTATTGACATATCATAGTGGTAGATTTCACAAGCTAATTAAGTTAAAGGGAACCAAACAACTGTTCCCTATGAGAAACTTTTCTAATACCTATTTTAGTATATCTTTCCAATTCTAGTCATGATTCTGCACTGTATTAATTTTAACATCTTCCATGGGTGCAATTTTAATCTCAACATAAAAAGGAACCCCCCCAGGTCAGTAATTAGTTATTAGGAGACATTTAGTTTTTAAACAGCCAATTTGATTGATTTTTCCACCATTAACTTCAAATCAATAAGTTTAGATTTGGGTAATTTTTCTGCTTGATGACTATTGAATGTCGTTAGTTGCTCCATAATAACTGAGTTAGAGGTTAAGTTTCTGGTAAATTCTCCAGATTGAGTCCACCAATGTCCCAGCCATACCTGTAAATATTTCTTGTTACAGGAAGCAAAATCTTTTTCTTCAGCCTTGTAAATCCATTTTATCTGATTCTATTCCTGTACTCGCAGAATAGTCTGAAAATGATTAAACTCATTTCCAGCCCTGAAATTGGACAGGTTTTAGAGCTAGCAACAAGAGGACAGGAATTAATTTCAGATGCGGTAGACAAGAGAATATAACTAGAGTCTGAAAGTTCAGTCTTTCAGCTGCATCTTCATTTTCTGAGGATTTTCTGTAGACCTACTTTTTCTTCAGTGTGGAATTATTTTTTATAATTATAATCAAGCAAAGTAGAAGGGCACTGCTTGGGGAAGTCTACTGCATACCAAGATGGTACAATATTTCAGATTTCTCGGCAAAAAGGTTCTTTCGACCACATGGCTTAGGAATTCTTATTCTACCTGTTAGGAACTCCTGGAATAAACTCACCTTAGGGGTGTTTTGATTTAAGCAGCTGCTGAGAGGTCTTACATTCCCACCCATCCCATACCTATAGAATACCTTCTTCCCTTAAATCCAAAGCACTGGCCAGTTCTAATGTGAATGCAATTTCTAAAGTTGGGTAATTCTAAGACTTTGAGATAAAACCTGAATGGACTCCAAATTACAAGTGTTTTTCAGAAAAATGTGGGACTCTGTGTGTGTCTGTGTGTATTGTATGTTTACACACATATACACACATACAAATGTAGAAATTACTAAGTATATGAAGTTATCATATTTGCTGTAGTTATTTAAGTGAACGTGTGCCATATTGAAGTAAATTACCACCTAATTTTAAAATTACAATTACTTTTTGCTCTGGGTTATTCACTCCAGAGAAGGATACTGTAAAATCCCCATTCCCTCCCCACCCCACCCCCACTAACCTGCTTTCCAGCTGTGTTCTCCACTGCAGGGCAACAAAAGAAGACCCAGCTGATCAGCTGGGACTTGGGAGGCAGAGAATAGATGGGGTTAGGGCCAGTCAGAGGTGGTATTTACTGGTTCTCTGAACTACTCAAAATTTCCACTACCAGTTCTCCAAAACCTGTCAGAACTGGCTGAATACCATCTCTGGTAGGAATTAGTGACCAACCTGGAAAAAAGTCATTTTCAACACTGTCCTCATGCTACCTATGTTAGAAAATGTACATTAAAGAGACACTAATTTGATGCCTTCTTTATCTTCCAAATGGCACTACATTTGTACATGTAGGCTCTTTAGTTCCATGGAGCTAAATTTTCTACCCGACTTTAGTAATGTAATGTTTCATTTGTGGCTCTTCAGTTGTAAGAAAAGCCACTTTTTTCTTTTGTTTTCTTTGGTGGCTATGAGGCATTCATAGAAATAAAAGAGGATAGTTTGCTTTATAAAATGCCAACTTCCTGTTTTTATTTTTTAATGAAAATGTCAAGTGGGACCAGGAACCCATTGGACAGCAAGGGAGGTTTATGAAGGCTCCTGGTTCCTCAAATACCATATTGGAGATCTGAGCTATATAGAAATAAAATTAAGGTGAAGAACCAGATAATTCTTCTTCCTTGTTTATATAGACCAGTGTGTTACGTAAATAGGAACTAACAATAATCTTAAGGCATATTCTGTCCATTTTAAAACTCTCAGATGAGTGGTGGGCAGGATTTCTTTAATCTAACTATTGCTGGCGGGTGGCATATATATGAAAGGAGCATGGAGAAATCATTCCAAATGATTTCTGGGTTATATTTTCAGATGGAACTGATTGACCTGTCTACAGTGGATGTGATCCTGATCTCCAATTACCACTGCATGATGGCCTTGCCCTACATCACAGAACACACTGGGTTCACTGGAACTGTGTATGCCACTGAGCCAACAGTGCAGATCGGCAGGTAAGAAAAATCCACTTAAGGCAATGTTATCTAATAATCCCATTTTCTTCCAATGCTGAAAGAAGTGGCAAAGGGCACGAAAAGTGGGTAACGGACAGCAGAGAAACATTGCTTCTCATGAACGTAAGGAACTTTTAACAGGGTTGAAAATAAGCCAAAGAAGTGTTTGAAACTCAAAGCATGTGCACTTGTTTAACTCCTTGTTTCCCAAATGTTGAAAATCAAACATCAGACTTGAGCATTTGGCAAAGTTATTTGAGTGTTGCAATACTGAAGAAAGGTAGGCCTTGAAGATTATGGCCCTACCCCTGTGAAGAAAAAGGAATCGAAAAGAATCAACAGTCCCCAAATTTCCAAGTTGCTAAAGATTATTAGTGGGTCCAAAAGGGAGGGCTGCCAGCACTCACTGAGCTTGAGCCATAAAATCTTACAGCTCGAGAGGGGCTTGTAAGCCTTAGAATCCCATTCTTTATAGGAAATCCATAGGCTTAGTCTCCCCATGATTAAAGATCTGTAGTAGAATGGGGGAATATTTATCTGGTTCCTTTTTATTTATTTATTTTCTTTGGTAATTTTATTTGTTATCTGGTTATTTAACTTAATGTTTAACCAGAATCTATCTTTTGATATCTTCTCATCTAGCTGTTCAAGCTAGTCCTTGCCTGTGAAATCTGCCTTCTAGATATTTGATCTGTATAATATTTCCAATCTGATATTTTGCTTCTGCATATTAAGTATTCTCATGTTTTTCCTCATAGGATTTATTTTCCATGTGGTTCGCCACTGTTGGCATCTTTTGAAACCACCCACCTTTTAACTCTACATCTAGAACTAGAGAAAGGACACTAAATGAAATCAGACATAAGCAGAATGATGTAGAAATGTTATGCCTTGTGATTTTGCAAGAATGGATCCATCTTTAAGGGCTTTAGAGCGGTTACTAAATGCTTTCTTGTTTCCTTTGGGTTCTACTTGAGTTAGGATCCATTATAAGAAGTGCACAAGTGGCACTCATGATTGTGGGTGACCCTGAGCTTCTTCAAAATTTGCTGCCAAATTTTATATGGGAATAAATTAAAATATGGGGAATAGAACTTTTTAAGTACCACAATTTCAAGTATATTTACATAGAAATTAAAATTTGTTTTTGTCCCATCCTATTTTCTGGCACATGATTCAGTGGGTAACTGCTTCTCTTAGCTCAAAGAACTGTAGCTGAGATATTTGCTTTCAATAGTAAATTACAAACATTTACTGTTGTTACTGTTAAGAGAATTTTGCATCTAACAAGATGAATATGTGTAAGTCAGATGTACATGTGATCTTTGAGCAAATGCAGCAATTAGTTGATTCAAGAGAAGAAAATAACAGGTGCTCCCTGTGTTCTGTGTCACTTCTAGTCACTTCTAAACTTGAATTTGGAATGTGGCAAAGTAAAGAAATAACTTGAAAGAATTAAAGTTGAATGGATAGTGTAACAACCATGCTACAACGGAAAAAAACCATTGACATTGAACAATAATAAGTAATGCTGATGGCTAGGTACTCTGACGGTACTCTGACCAGTTCATCTCTTATAAAAGAGTGTTTCAGGATCAGATCATTTTTCACATCTGGGCTTAGTATTGGGCAATTTACTGGTACTGTCACAATGTTGATGGTTGGGTAGCGATTTGACAGTCAGATCAACATTGGCATCCATCAGTGGTTCCATGGGAGTAATTCCACTTAATTTAATCAATGGAGGAAACAGGTAAAAGAATTAGATTCTGACCCTTCAGTGGTCATCTGAGATCTCTTATTCCTGGCAGCCTCTGCTCCCTTTTCTAGAAGAGATGAATTCTGTAACCAATGTGCTAGGGTGATGGCAGTAAAGCTTAATGAAACAAGCCACAGTGTAGCTGCTATGAAAACCTGAAATGATAGGGAAATATGTAAGAATAAACAATGTAAGAAATATTATTATTGAATTGTATGTGAATATAGTATGAAATGCACAAAATAAGAATTGTAATAGTGTATTATGGTAAAACTAAGCAAATAATAGTTATAATCCGGATAACACGATGTAGTGAAAAGAGATTATACTGTGTGATAGTTGTAACTAGGATGTATAATATGATGGGGGAGGAAAAGGGGGATTTGATATAACCAGTACACAACAATGTTGTATAATTGGAACTGTTTATAGAAAGAAAAATTGTACAATAAAAACATTTATTTAAAAAAAACCTGAAATTAAATACCTGACAAAGTTTACTCAGAGAGATAATTTGTAATTATTCTAAATGTCACATTTCAGCCTAAAATCATATTTGCCTCTATTGTGTTCACTGATCAATTAGAGTAAATATTCATCAGCTCTGTTAAGAATGCTTCATTCGGAGAAGCAATCAAACCTAAAGAATTGGTCCAGTTTGAGAAATCAAACCATGCGTGATTCAGCTGTTTGGAAAATCCTCAGAAACTTATCCTAGTGAGTCAATTCTACCTGCTGTGTTTTCATTTTCTTCAGCTGCCCTTTTCTGTTTTCAGGCTCCTTATGGAGGAATTGGTCAACTTTATAGAGCGAGTGCCGAAGGCTCAGTCTGCCTCCTTGTGGAAGAATAAGGAGGTGCAGCGGTAAGTTCACTCGGCCACTTCCCCATCTTCCTCTTCCTCATCCTTTTGAAAAGTGTCTTTGAGAGCTCACTAATTCTTTTATAGTTCATTTCCTTATTCTATCCTTGGCCCTCCTGTGTTTGGCCATCATCAGGCAAGCTTATCTGGAAGAGGATTTCCCAAGACAGCAAAGAAAACTATGCCAGGCTATATAGGAGGGTGTTTCAATTTGAGGTGACTGAGGCAAGGGATCGGATTCTACCAGCGTAGGTAACATCGGCGGCTATACTGCAGATCTAGAATAAAACAAGGCATTGCTCTGTTGCCTGAAGGGTCAGGTTAAAGGTTAAAAAAGGCAAAGGTTAAAAAAAGGTAGCTCAAATGTTGCTTCAGCAAAAAAACCCAATATGTGCTGGGACCAAAGAAAAGGGCTTTGGGTCATTATTGTGGTTAGTTAGAAGACCCTTATATGCCTCCTATGCTATCAGTCAGCTTCAGGGCCAGAGGTGGCATTCAGCTTGTTCTGATCAGTTCTGGAGAACCGGGAGCAGAAATTTTGAGTAGTTTGGAGAACTGGCAAATGCCACCTCTGACTGGCCCCGCCCGCATCTCTTCTCTGCCTTCCGAGTCCCAGCTGATCGGCTGGGTCTTCTTTCGTTGCCCTGCACAGGAGAATGGAGCTGGAAAGCAGGTTAGTGGGGTGGGGAGGGAATGGGATTTAGCAGTAACCTTTCCCCAGGAGTGGAGAGGGAATGGAGACTTTGCAGTGTCCTTCCCCTGCCACGCCCACCAAGCACGCCACACCCACCAAGCCACGCCCACAGAACCGGTAGCAAAAAGTTTTGAATCCCACCACTGTTCATTCAGGGCCATTGTCTCCAGAGTTCCTTTCAGGGTGGAATTTTTGGGTCCAAAGAGAGCAGTGCAACCATCAGAACCTTCCGAAGGCAACAGACCGCTTGAACCCCTGGTTCTGCAGAAAGGGATTCATTTGGGTTTGTGCTGAAGGCAAATCTCCTTCCTCCTGCAGCATCTTTATTTATTAAATTTATATGCTGCCCTTTTCACTATTGAGCTATTTAAAGTGGCTCACAATGCCATAAATAACAGTATAAAACAATTACAAAGTTTAAAAGACTAAAACATGGGGCACTGGAAGTTAAAACATTAAAATTGACAACAGGGGGGTCCTTGGTGGTCTCTGAGCTTGCTTGTTTTCTTGCAGATGTTTCAACTCTGAGTTGCAAATATTCTCCTTTATTGAAAACAAAGTGAATAAAAAGAACCAGTGAATAGACTACTTTGAGGTGGGATCTTCTCCTAATCTACTAGTCACCTCCAAAATCAAATGATCCCATCAAGGCCCTAAGCCACTTGGCAGAGCCAGATTTTGGGGCCTTTCGGAAAGCCAAGAAGTTGGGGGTAGGCCTCACCTCAGGGGACATGATATTGCAATACAGAGCCATGCAGAACAGGCTCTTCTCCTGGAACCCACCAGTTGCAATTTCTTGGCTATTTGGGATCTGGAGCATGCCCCTTCTGCCGGAGAGAACGGGGCTGGCCAATGGACCCATGTCATAAAGGCTTTAAAGATAATAAGCAACACCTTGAATTGAACCTGGAAGAAAGCGGCAACCTGTGCAGTTCATGTAGCAGTGGTTTTACATGGGTCACTCTAGGGCAGTGGTGGCTAAACTTTTTGGGCTCCCATGCTGATAATTGCGCACGTGGTTGCCTACTCATCCTCATGTGCCATCACCCAGAAGGCAATGCGCGCAGCCCCTCATGCCTCCTGCACATGTGCATGCAATCTGTGCGACCCGCGCTGTACATGCATGACCCCCCCACGCATGCCGCATGCTTCTGCACATGCTCAAGTGTCTCCATGTCCCCACGCATGCACGCCAGATAACCAACAATCAGCTGTCAGGCGGGCGGCCCACGCACATGCACAGTAGACCTTTTCTGGGCGAGTACTCGCATCCTGGCAGTTATGGCTCTGCGTGTCACTTCCCGCGTGGGTGCCATTGGTTCACCACCACGACTCTAGGGGTCCCTAAGACTGTGCTGCTGCATGTATTGCCAACTGTAGCTTCAGAATACTCTTCAAGGGTAGGCCTATGTAGAATACATTGCAGTAGTCCAAGTGTGTGATGATCAGGATTGAGCTCAGGGTCTCACAGTTTAGAAAGGGCACAACTGGCGTACAATATGATCTTCTCCTCAGTATCCATATTCTCATTCTCAACATCCATAGTCTCATTCTCTCACACGTGGGATATCCATTATCACACCAGCTATTCCTATACAGGTAGTCCTTGACTTACAACAGTTCGCTTAGTGAATGTTTGAAGTTACAACATCATTGAAAAAAGGGACCAATGATCATTTTTCAGACTTACGTGACCATTGCAGCATCCCCGTAGTCACGTGACTTGCGTTCGGATGCTTGGCGACTGACTCATGTTTATAATAATTGCAGTGTCCTGGGGTCATGTGATCACCTTTTGTGATCTTCTGACAAGCCAATGGGGAAACCAGGTTCACTTAACTATGGTGTTACTCATTTAACAACTGCAGTGATTCACTTGTGGCAGGAAAAGTTGTACGAATGGGGCAAAACTCACTTCACACCTAGCAACAGAAATTTTGGGCTCAACTGTGGCCATCAATTGAGCACTACCTGCATTTAGTAATGACATTTTTGTCATGCCTTGGTTACTTAGTTTCTTCATGTTTGGATTACTGTGTATGGTTATCTTCAGAAACTTTAACCCGGTCAAGGATGTTACAAACTACGTTAATTAGGGTTTATTATAAGTAGCATGAAGGTCTCTTGTTAAAACAGTTATACTGATGCCTAATGAGTTTCCAGTTCAGCACTGTTCAAAAGGCTAATGTTAACTAAAGCTCTGTGCAGCTGTGGGTTGGGCTGCTGAAATATATCTTTCCTTTAGAAGCCTCCTCAAGCATTTTTTCAGAAAAGTTGTTTTCTGAATAAAAAAAATTGTTTCCATCAAAAAAAATGTACTTATACTGTGTACGCTTGGCAAAGATTGGTTTATATGGCAGCTTACATATTCTACCCTCAAAACAACATTATAGTGCACTGCATACCAGAACAGCTAGACAAAAGGACAGTTCCCCCCCGTGCCATCACTGCTAAACAACTAATTCCCACAACATTGTTGAACTATTTAGTAAGACTGTATTACTATTCTTCTTCTCATCTTTCCTATTATCTATCTTCTTTTTTACTTCTGACTATAACTTTGTTGCTTGTATATTTACTGATTATATTGTTTTATTTAGTTTCCTAGTACCATTTATGTTGATTCTTTAACTAAGTGTTGTATCTTATGATTTAGGATGAATGTATTTTTATGACTATGATCATGATTTATCACTTATAGCTTTTATATACAATGAGCAGGGCTGTCTTAACTCATGGGCCTGATGGGCACTTGCCTGTGGGCCCCACGAGCATAGGGGCCCCATACTAAGCTGTGTATGTTAACCCTTCAATGCACCTTGTATCATATAAATACAGCAACATATTTATTACATATTTATTTGTTGGAAGTGCCAATAAAATAAATATATGTTTAATTTTATCAACCATTTACATTTTTATTCATGTGAGTAGTTGTAGGGGCCCCAGTACACTGCTTTGCCCAGGGCCCATAATACTGTTAAGGCAGCCCTGACAATGAGAGCTTATGCACTGAAGACAAATTCCTTTGGCCATTCACACTTGGCCAATAAAGAATTCTATATGAATTAGCAGGATTCTGTCTTTAAAACGCCTCTCCTCCCCTCTCCTAGAAAAATGGAGGGCTTAAAACCAGAAGCCCCTCACCCCATTGTATACTGTACAGCAGCCCTTTCCACAACTTCAGATCAAGTAGATCAACTGAAGGCATTGCTATTGTGTTTCTCCAACAATACGCCACCCCCCAATAGGAAGACCCAGCATGTTTTCTACGCATAAAATGAAGTTAAGCCCCTCCCCCCAAATTTAGGCCTAGTTTAAAACATGCAAAATTGGGGGGGGAGGCAGGGGGGAACTTGCCATTAGGAGTGCCCCATGGGCAGCTACGCCTCATCATCAGCTGCTCCTAATACCATGGTGGAGCATGGAGGGCTCCCTTACCCCTCCCTTACCCGGGTCAGCAGGAGGGCGACGTTGGCGTGGATGTCCAGCAGTGTTCCAGCCGCTTCTCAGGCCTCTGTAGCTTCCACAGTTCCTACCAGTGCTGGCACGTCTCTCGCCAGCACCATCTCCAACAACAGTGTCTGAGTCGCTCCTGCTTTTCCCCCGTCCCTGTAACAACAGGAAAAAAAAAACATTTTGAGGTACCTGGGAGTGCCGCATGCTGCGTTTTGGTTTAATCCCGAGCGGCTGCATTCCAAGTGCCAAGGCTGAGGTGCAGCTGTTCCTCTCTCACCAGCGCCATCTCCAATAACAGTGGCGGCAACAGCGGGAACCGTGGAAGCATTTCAGCCGTTTCTCGGGTGGGGGAGCCGCCTCTGTAACTTCCACAGTTCCCGCCGCTGCTGCCACTGTTATTGGAGACGGCGCTGGCGAGAGAGGGACAGCTGTAGCTCGGCCTGGGTGCTTGGAATGCAGGAACGGGCTGCACACTGGGACTTTTGCAAACTCCTGCAGAGCCCAAGGCTGGAGCACCAAGGGTAGCAGCAGCAGCAGAGACGTTCGCTCGGCTCTTCTCATGCCCACCCAGCCGCTCGGGTTTAAACCAAAACGCAGCGTGCGGCACTCCCAGGTACCTCAAAATCTTTTTTTTCCTGTTGTTATGGGGACGGGGGGAAAGCGGGAGCAACTCAGACACTGTTGTTGGAGACAGCGCTAGTGCGCGGGGGGGAGGAGAGAAATTAATTCACCCTCCGAAAAGACGTCCTAGCTGTTTTTTCAGGGCTCAAAAAAAATATAAGTCCCGGCCTTATTTTGTGAGAAACACGGTAGCTAAAATCCTTTATTTACTCTGCTGGTGTAATGTCTC